TCTCAGTTCCTAGCGCAGCCGCCAGTACCCGAACACCTTTTGACGAAAGTGGTGGGCCGCCCGATGCCGAACAAAACTCTCCATGAAATGGATGACATAACTCCGGTAGAGCTCTTCTTCCGAGAAATTTCCCCTAACGACAAGCCTTTGAAAAATACTGGCATGCCCAACCAGTCCTCAATCGCCACTACTTTCTCTGGTATCTCCCGTCTAAATCGGTATCTCAACCAAATCGACGCGGAAGCTCCACCAGTTTCGTCCGCCTTTGTGTTCCTAGCGACGCTGTCGCCCAGGTAAAACGACATGCAGTACTTACGTGGAAATGACAACTTGATGAAAACATCGACCCCTGCTCCCAATAACATCCCGACGCTACGAAAGCAACCTGAATCCACTATCTCCGCACCTAGCAGAAGGCCCGCTGCACACATGAACAAGCGCCAAAAATTCTTGCCCGCAGCATGGATGCACTACTGAGCCCTTTTTGTCAACTCTACTAACGCAGACATCCTCCGATCTACCGCGGACCGTCTCCAGAAGGCTTACCAAAGCAAAATATGATGCAAACCTCTTTTCACCTAACCCGCGAATCCCGGCAAACGCTAAAGAACCAGCGCGGGCGGAACCAGGACGACTCCATATACCAACGGTCTTTCCGACACAACCATCCGACACGATGGTTACCAATACGCAGCCTCAACCTTCCACGACAGACTCTTCGACAACAGGCAACGATATAGAAATGGCTGACATCGTCAAAGAAGAGAGCCCAGTAGAATTGACCGAGGATGAACAATGTTAGGACCAATGGGGATGACGCTCTTCTACCCACAAGGACTCAACGTGGACAACGCAGCACATACAGATAAGTGTTTGAACGTTATATCGATTTTAAGTCAGGTTGATGTTATGTGTGTGGTTCAAACCTGGCATAACGCACATTTCTTAATCATATACGTTCGAACACACACTACCATATTCTACATCACACTACACGGCATAATATCTTACACCCTTCACCCTGTGGTATTGGCATCTTTTCCAAACACCACCCATCGAATTTTCAACTTGTACACTCTTCACCGTATGCGGTGTTCTTTGTGTGCTTTGGCGTTCATATGGCCGTGTTCTACCTTCCACTCAAATCACTTACTGAAGAAGACGTAAGGTGATACATGAATCCCCCTGAGATTGGCGATTTCCAACCAGATATCGTGTGGGGAGATTTCAACTCAAAAGCCCGGAATTATGGCCACGCATCTACAAATCACGGACTACGTATGAAAACGATTGAGACTACCCTGCGTAATACATGGCACTTGGACTACCTCTATGCTGGCGGCTCAACTGGTACAGAACATGCGTATCATCGGCTTAGCACCCCCGCCTCCCTCCAGACTTATAAGCTGACGGACTACGGTATCTGTGGTGACCTTACCTTTGGACTCGATCTCCAGATACTTCCCACGAATCAAATCCATCGGCCCCCACAAATGCCAACAATGCCGCCGCCTCTGAACCAACGCCTCCCTTCCCATGGATATAACCGATATCGCCATCGACTGTATCACCTACACAACAAATCCCGCGCGCGACTATTCCAAGCCGAAATCCGGGCACATCAGAACCTACTATGGTCGTATCTCACTTTGCACGGACCAGCGGAAGGGCTGCTACGGATCCTCGACCGCATCTGGCGCTATGCCGCTACCCCACAAATCTTCGGAGGGTTCTACTATGACTTAAACAGACCCTGGGTTCAGCGACTGCCAAATCACTCATTCCGCCCACGTCTGACCGCCCAAAGCAATGTTTACATGTTCAAAGATATTGCGTACCAACGATGGTCTCCGCGCCAACCCTGCATACCGGGTACCGATAACACAGGCGCCACCCTCGCTGGCTACTTTGAGGACCTATTCAACTCTACAAACCCGTACGTGGTTCCATCGGATACCGAACCCTCTCCTGATGTCACTTCCACCATACGCCCCGACGATGTAGTGGAGGCTATACTACGCTATCCCAATAAGGGGCCTGGCCCCGACGGGATCCACATCCTCCTCCTGAAGGCCGCAGTGGAGCGCTCCACCGAACGCCGGACATTAGGACCGGGTACCTTCCCTGCAGTCCTGAACTGCAGCCTCCTGACAGCGCACCCAAAGAAAGCCGATGCAGACATCACCTCCCCCGCCGACTTCCGCCCCATCACGCTTACGCAAATAGTCAGACGCATCTTTGAAAAATGCTTTCTGAATCTGATTACGAGCCATCCCGGCTCTGCTACCCATGCTACCCAAGCTGGCTTCAAATCACGGTAATCCTGTCATACTCAAGCACTTGCCGCCATGAAATCTGAGGCACAGTCAGAAGAGGAGTGGAACGACGTCTGTCTGGACATTACCACGGCATACGACAAGGTTGCTCTCCCACGCCTATGGGTACTTATGCGCCACGCTGGAATACCCAAAAACTGGATCAGCTGCCTTCGCGCGCTATTTGAGAGGGTCCCTACCCGTGTGACATACCGCGTCTCGCTCTCGCCTCTATTACATAGAACGAATGGAATCCTACAAGGCTCAATCGTCGGCCCCCAGCTCATTATTATCTACAAGGATTCCTTAGTTGGCACGCTAGCACAATTTCGGCCCAAGCTCCTCCGCTCTTATTTATTTGTCGATGACACGGGGATCCAAGCCCCTCAATCGGTTCCGTTCCAGTCCTTCTTAGATGACATTGATGCGTGGGCACGCAAATATGGCCTCGAACAGGGTGTCATAAAACCCCGAGTACGATCTACCAACTTGCGACACGCGGCGCCAACACTCCGTATAAATGGTGAGCTTTCACACCGACACTTGCAGACGCACCTTGGAACACACGTTACCTCCCCCTGAAGATGGCGCCCACATATGCCTAACCGAAACACTCCAAATATCTGGGTGTGGTTAGAATACAAGTACTTAGGTTTTAGTTGTTTACTTTAGTTATTATAGTTTTTTACAGTTTATCAGAATATTCTGATAAACTTGGTTTTTGCTGACTATTACAGCACATGACTTATGACTCACTTTTAGTGTCACTAATTTTACAATTACTAATAAATGAACAACGTCTCCCTCCCCACGGAGGGAGAACGTTGCGATATAGTTATTGAAGCGTTCGTTTACCACACTTTTAACTTACCAAGGAAGTTGTGAGTTTATTAGTAATTAGGAAACAAGCTACTTTATAATAATTGAATGAACTTTATTAGATTTTTCTACAGGAATACGACGAACGAATAAAGAGAACACCGATTGTTGTAATAGCGGAAGTAAGATGGCGCGACAAAATGACGAAATCTTTCATAATCTACACGCGGTAGAAGACGATAGTGGGTACACAAGTAGTGACGCTAGTGCCACACTGCCATCATTGATGTCGAGTAGTGGCAGTGAAAAGGAAGAGACGCCGAGACCGAACGATCAGCACGACCGATGGAATCAGCAAAAGGAATCTGAAGTGAACAATGGACGCTTCAGGCTCAATAGAATCAGTATGGCTAGACAGCTCGAACGTTTCAGGCTTCCTAGACAGGTATCTAATTTTACTGTGGCTCCAAGAACGGAGGCAAACAACGACACTACGACCGAACTTAAAGAGCCCACGACCGAACCCAAGAAGCAATCGAATCAGGAACAGACATCTGAAGTACAAGAACGGAATGAGCAGGACAAGAAGGGCCAAACGGCCAAGACGAGGGTCCAGCCAGACGATCAGTTAAGCAGAAACGATGGTGCAAAATAGATTGGTGATTATATGTTGTATAAACAAATAGAATGGGTGAAATTGTGGGTTAGATAACGAGTTAGAACCCTATTATGGAAATATTTTTGGTTAGACGATGCTCAGTTGAAATTGCGTTAGAGAAATGAAACCAGTGTATATAGTGAGTAAGATCTAAGGAGTTGTATGCATAGAAGCAATCGAGAATAGAATTAGGTATGTTGCTCCTACGGTAGCCATCTACCGCAAGTAGATATAATACTACAAGAAACACGCCCTAACTTTAGGCATAGACAAAGGGAAGAGTTAGGTAGTTCGCAATGTCCCAGCTAGAAGATACTGAAAGGGACTAAAACGAAGGTTAGAAAGCAAGTAAGGACACAAAGAACAAGTCAGCGTAAACAATTATAGATGTATACTATGATATCATTAGCATAGTACGTTACTAACGTGGTATGAGAGATTCTTCTTGACGAAATTGCGAGATCGAAGATGTAGAGAGTATGTACATATTTAAATGATACCCAGGTACATTGAACAAAGAGGTTAGCAATAGGATCGTGGAACGATACGGACTAATAGTACAATTTGAGTCTTACTGTAAATCAAGAACCACATTAGAAGTTACAGTACATAGACAGGGATGATATCTGGTAAACTAGGGGATGTCGAGGTAATAATTGTATAATGCACAGTTAGAACCCACAGAGGCACTAGGAACTACTTGTCTAAGCAGAACTTTGTGTCAGAGATGCTCGAAAGAAAGTACAAAGCAGGATCTAGAGGTAGACAGAGGGGTCCGTAGGGCACGACAGGCCGACAATAGGCAGTTACATACCGATATCCGCAACGGCACATGCAGCTTCAAAAAGGAGTAAGATTAACAAGGAAGGGGAGTAAAGCGAGAGCGGTGGAGTTCTCTAAGGAGCAAAAGTATGTCGCCGAAGAAGGATGTGACTCCACTAGGAGGTTGGAGTAGCACCCAAGGAGTGTAGGGTGAACCCCGATAAGTATTTCATCGAAGGATATACGGCACCATAGTCTGCTGGAGGCATGAGCAGGATTCATGTATTAATGTACCACTCTGAAAAGGAACGTAGTGACGGGCACGGAATAAATCTTTCCGGGCAAACAGTGTCGAGACTTGTTGAGATGAAAACGATCTCTAGGACGGATAAGTATTTATACCCGATCTATTTCCAAACCTCAATTGAACCACACAACGTACTATTATGTCCAACCTACGTCAAAGCCGTAGGCAGCAACATCTGACCCATGAACGTCGGGAGGAAGACTACATAGACCGTCGAAGGACTAAGTGCCACCAGTCTGTCACGGACCATACCGGCCAACGAGCTGAGAACGGACGGATGTAACTACAGAATGGAGAGGTTCATCACCAAGCAGCGGCTAACATTAGACAGGCATCCAAGACACCCAGGGGTGATATCAGCCTAACGAAGGGAGACGTGGTAATTAATGACGAGGCCAAAGGAGATCCCGACCTGCGTGCGGACAGGGGGCAGTCCATTACTGGTGAACATGTAGCTAGTAGTGGGCTGCCCTCCTGTTCGTCTTTGGGTATCTCTGGAGCCTCATCTTCCGGTAACGAGCAGCCACGCCTCCCACCTAATAAACGTAGGCGTCACCGCCGTCGTTCCAACAACAAGGGCACGGTGCAGGGCCAGTCGTCGACAAAAAAGCTAACCGAGCTTATGGTACAACATCAGTCGCTCTTGGAGAAGTACGAACAAAGGCTGAAGCGTACATCTTCAGAACGACCTACGACAGTGTTGTCCGCGCACGAAGCGTTGACTAGCCCACGTAAACGGAGGCATAGGGCACGAGGTAGGGAGGACAATCCCACGTTTCGTATCCAAGGCCGTTCACAACAGCACCATGGACTCGGGTGCGAATCACCTGGGTCGATAGGTCAACTCTCCGAGGAGGAAGAGACTTTGTCGTCTCTGGAGGAGGCTCCGTTATTCCAAGAATTCGCACGTGAGCAGGTGTTGGCCAAACAAATTCCACATGGGCAGGAAGCGCTCAAGAACAGGCAGGACCAGATGAGCACGACCTATCGCCAACAACAACAGCGACAATCGTTCGAGAGGGCAGCAACCAGTCAGCATGTACAGACGTCTAAGCGAATGGAGACGACGTCGCTCACACCTCCACCCACACCGGCGAGTATTGAGAAAAGTCGACAGGTGCTATAACTTGAGCGACGAGTTATGCCAAGCAATAGAGGATAATAACACGGCTCGAGCTGAAGCTCTTTAGGAAGCGATCAAAACGCTTCGAGCCACGCTAGAGTCCCGTCCAGTGGAAAAGCGTCGATTTTAGGGTTTAGGGTTTAATAGATGCCACCTCCACGACATCATGGAACGGGACACGAAGGGGGCTCTACTGGAGGCTTTTAAGAACGCGCAAATCGCAGGGTTAGATGAGAGTTGGAGCCTTACATGGTTCCACAAGGTATTATCTTACTTTAAGGCTGAGAAGTCAACATTGGATTACATACGTGACAACTTTGAACGAATGAAGATGTGGACGCCACAACTACAAATCGAACAGATTTGCTCGCACGAGACTCAAGCCACTGTTGATCCCACGTTTTGTAAGCTTGCCAAGGGTTATTGTAGTTTTTTTAACAGTTTATCTTCAATGGCACATCTCGAGGGGATGGTGGGGGGTCCCTCCCCGGGTTCCGGGGAAACTTGGTTTTTGCTGACTATTACAGTACATGTCTTATGACTCACTTTTGAGTCACTAATTTTACAATTACTAATAAATGAACAACGTCTCTCTCTCTACGGAGGGAGAACGTTGCGATACAGTTATTGAAGCGTTCGTTTACCACATGGGGTTCCCACTATCTCACGCAATACCAGGGATCAACCTCGCCAGACATATGGAATCCCTAGTTACAGCATTGTCTCTGGGTATCGCCTCTTTCCGTGCTTATGACTTTCATGGCTTCAGCTGGCGACACCCCCGCAACCGACTGGTGCTGTTCAAAACATTCATCCTATCCACGGCTACATATGGCCTGAACAGTACCACCTGGGCCCCGCATATATGGAAGGATGCGTTGGACCCCCCTGTTCGAGCGCTTTAACTCGGCACTCATCCAAGCAGCAGCCATCAACACGGCACTAAATACCCTCGGTTTCCCAAACATCAAACAAACTTATTCCACTTTTGTGGCCTGCTCCCCGCGCGACCATTCGCGGACTACCTCGGAGGTGCCTGGGAATACTACTCGACTCAATGGCCAGCACAAATCCACTCACCCCTCTGACGCAACCCGCCTGGGCCCACGACAAACCATTACTGTTCTTCCCGTACAGTATTTATGCTCACCTGAAAACTGTACACAAAACCACGGGCGGGCGTACACCTGACCTTGTAGCCCTCCGCCAACGCTGTGACGACATCAGGAAGAACTCAACAAAACGCTGGTCCAACAAGGAGATCGCGGCAATGGCTCGGTGCCAATACTACTACCAACTGGATATGGGTAAACCGCCAACCTCAAACCGAGACAAAGCCAGACACGACAGCTTCAACCGCTGCCTCGAGCCTACACCAATCCGGCTCTGTGCTATGATTGTAACGAATACGTACATGTTCACATTGCTCGACTGCCGCACCGACGGCTGTCTCTGCCATGTCTGCCCTGGTAACCACAAGTTCACCACTAGCCACTTTACGTGCATCCAACAACTGATTCGACGCATCCTGGTAGGCCCGAAACTGCCCCCCATTGGCCCTGACCTCCTCCAATAATTACAGGAGTTCCACGACTTCCACGATATCTGGACCCTCCACGAACACCTTGGAAATTTTCTCCAGCATGTAAAATAACTACCGTACCCTCACCCGTCTCGGACACATCAACAGATGTTCCCCATACCCCGGCTAATCACGCTGTTTAAGTACTACCAAATTTCGGTTCAAACCAAATCATCAAACCCTATGATACTTCCAATCCAGGCCAGCCAGCACATACCGAATACATCCGTGGTCTGGTGCGGCATTGGCTCACCCCCATCCTCGTTCCTCGACCGAATTATGACGGATAACGTGGTCCTACTCGGTATTTCGCACTCTGCACTAACCCATTCCACGGCACCACACGGCGCAGACCCGATCCGTACCACAGAGGTGGATACGCTACTTAGTAGGTCAGCAAGCGAATACATGGCACATTCGATGGTGTCAGTGTTTTGTCAGCACCGGCCCGAATTTACTCAGCGCATATCCTCCATCGTCGACTCATTTGGCCCAAGCTTCAAACGGGAATTTACTGACCACTTCCTCCCATCGATCTTTCCCGAACCACTACAACGGCTACGAGAGCCATACCATATGTTCATACATTGTAACATACATACATTGTAACTTATCCCTTTTTTGAAATAAATAATACTATCCCTACATTGCATGACTGTTTGAAAGGAAAGTACACATGTTCGTACAAGTGGCAAGTATAAGACGCACGGATAAGACGCATGTATATGTAGCATATATACGCCGTGCGGTTAAGACGCGTAAATAAGTGTCATATACCGCCGAAGCAACATACCTTCTTGGCCTTGTTTTAAGTTTGCTTGACTGGTGATTACTATTTCCATTGATCTGCCCAAGTCTTTAGCAAATCGTAAGGTCATGTCGAAGCTTTCCCATATCCTGTCTCTGTGGAACTCCATTTCCCATAGAAAGCCCAATCTAAGGTCTTCTTCATCTGGTTCATATTTTTTCTCACGTCTGATAGCACTGTCCCAAGCGGTCTTGTCCCATACCAACTTTGGCCATTTTCTACCACGAACGGCATCAGAGTTACCAGAGTCACCGGAATCCCCCCCACTGTCACAACTATGTTAGTCTTTATGATGACGCCCTTAATCGTGAGATTTAAGTTTAAAACTAACTGTTCACCTGAACTGTGATTAAAAACTAATTACTCGTCACTGTAAGGGTTCTTACCATCCCAACATAGTGAACGGTCCTCCACGTCTTCCTGTTCGCCGGAATCGCTCGCTTGCTTTCTGTGTTCTGCGATGGCACTTCTACCCGCTAACTATTTTTTTAACCACGACCGGGTTCACCTCCTGATTGTAAGTTCTTGTCTGTTCTTTGTTCTGGTTTTCAGTCATGAGTCAGTCTGGTAAAGCCATCAGCGCCAGCCCACTCCCTTTTCAATTCAGCCGACTTACTGTCCTTGTGCTTCAGTTCTTCTTCGGGGTTTTCTCACTCTACTGGAGCACATATGATGACTATAATGGTTTGAATTGGGATCTCCTGCCTACAGGCATTTATAGGTGACAAACTAGAACGGCAAGTATATGTGACAAGTTAGAAAGGGAAATAAGACGCAGACATAAGAAGCATGCATAAGACGCATCAATAAGACATGCAAAAGATACATGCATAAGACGCATCAAAAAGACACATGCATAAGACGCATCTATAAGACTAATGCAAAAGAGGCATGCATAAGACGCAAGAATAAGACACAAAATTAAGTTGCAAGCATAAGACGCATGCATAGACGCATGCATAAGATACAAAAATAGTACGCGACGCATGCATAGACGCATGCGTAAGATGCAAAAATAGTATGCGACGCATACATAAGACGCATGCATAAGATGCCAAAATAGTACGCATGCATAAGATGCAAAAACACTACGAATGCATAAAATAAATAAAATAGTACGCATTAAAACATAAGCACAAATTACAAAGACACATGCATAATATGCACAAATAGGACGCATGCATAAGATGCAAAATCAGTACGCATGTATAAAATGTAAAACGAAGACGCAAGCATAAGACGCATGTATAAGACGCAAACATAAGATGCCAAAATCGTACGCATGCATAATATGCAAAAAAATAGTACGCACGCGCAAAATACAATAATAAGACGCATGCGCAAGGTGCAAAAATTGTACGCATGCATACAATGCAAAAATTGTACGCACGTATAAGATTCAAAAATCAGACGCATGCATAAGATGCAAAATTGAAACGAAAGCATAAGACACATGTATAAGACGCATGCACAAGACGCATGTAAAAGACGCGTGCACAAGACGCATGTATAAGACGCATGCAAAAGACTCATGTATAAGACACAGGCAGCAGACGCAAGCATAAGACGAAAGGTTTTCACTTACGGTCTGTAGGTTCAGATTTTTTCGGCCACTTCCTTGTTTCCACTCTCGTCCGTCTTCAAACCCATATAGTGATATTCTTCGCTGTGGCATACGTTGATATAAGTAACTCCTGATGCTTGTAGAGCGATGAACTCGTCCATTAGTTCTGCCGTAAAAGAAAGACTCGTCGTCACTCAATTGAGATACCGAGTTCGTGTTGTCTCAACAAGACGCGTCATAATGTACACCCCACGAGCAAATATCAGCACCATATATTACCAATAAAGCATAGCGAGAGAGATTGTCCATCCATGTACCATCTATTGTTATACGATGCCTCCATGCTATTAATATTTCTTTCCAATCTTCCTTGTTAGCAAACTCGACTATTCTGGCAAATTCCAGAAACATCTGTACGTCGCAAAAAGTTGCAATGTTGGCGCGTAGAATTCGATGGTCTGTAATACCCAATTTTGGAAAAAGGGGCTTTCGAAAACTGAACGTTGGAAACAGTTTTTATCGCCTCGAACATTCTGTACTATGTAAATGTTTCCGTCGAGGATTAAAAACCTTGTTCCTTCAGTGATCTCGCGAACATACCTATGATATAAAGTTTTGGTTTCCTTATCCGTATCCCTGCCTTTATCGTCTGCCGCCTTATCCTTGCCTTTATCGTCTACCGCCTTTCCTCGTCTTTATCGTCTGCCGCCTTATCCTTGCCTCTGTCGTCTACCGCTGGAGTGGAAAATTTTCTTTTAGATTTCGCTGCCCGTTTTGAAGTCGATCGCCGCTGCTGGGATGTCTTGGACTTGGGACTTGGGAGTTTTTTTTGGGGTATTATTCGGGCTTGATCCATCGTGCACACTTATACCGTATTAGGGTAGCCTGTATCTCTTTGGGTTTCCTTTGAGATGATATCAGTGTTTACTGCATGATTCCCGAACCATATACTTTTACAATCATAATCAATTACTGTCAAATTAAACAGATAATGACACGATCCGACGATACAACTTTAGTTGGGGTTTAAAAGTTGGAATGTTGTAGTTTCGTGTTGCTTCCCTTGAATGTGTTGTGTATATCACATGCTTTCCTTTTTCATATATAGTAAAATAAATAAATTGAAATGGTATCGTCACTATGATTTATTTCTTATATTGCTTTTTGCTGCAAATATTGCATGTATCTGTTTTTATTGCTTTTTGCTGCAAATATTGCATTTTGCTGCAAATATTGCATGTGTCTGTCTATGTTGCTTTTTGCTGCAAATATTGCACGTGTCTGTTTATATTGCTTTTTGCTGCAAATATTGCACGTGTCTGTTTATATTGCTTTTTGCTGCAAATATTGCAAGTGTCTTTTTATATTGCTTTTTGCTGCAAATATTGCATGTGTCTGTTTATATTGCTTTTTGCTGCAAATATTGCATGTGTCTGTTTATATTGCTTTTTGCTGCAAATATTGCATGTGTCTGTGTCAGCGGCAGTCACCCAAATTCCATTTGTATGTTAGGCATATTAAAGCCGCACAAACATATCAGCGATAATATTTCTGAACTCGCGTTGATTTTATTTATTTTTATAGTACACGATATTTCTATTTATTTACTTATAAATAGTATGTATGTGTAAACCGTGTCACGGTTGTTTGCATTTAAATTTTTATTATTATCGCACGGTTTAATTTTACTAATTTATTTATAGTACAGATTGGTTTTATTTATCTATTTTATTGCACGTTGTTTTTATTTATGAATTTGCACTGCACGTTGTTTTTATTTATTTATTTATAGTGTACGATGTATTTATTTATGCTAAGAGTACATGTGTAGCCACACAATTGGCTCAGAATTGGCGCGTATAAGGCACGAATAGATTTCAAGCAAACATGTTGTCGATCTGATCATGACAGGCATACGTGTCAGACTTAAGGATCGCAGGTATAAGCGTCGGTTGAGCGTCAGACTTAGGAATCGCAAGGTTAAGTGTCAGACTTAAGACGAGTCGCAGGCGTAAGCGTCTTTAGCGGTCGCACGCATAAGAGTCAGGCTTGGTGGCCGCAAAATTAAGTCGCAATTTCAGCGCGTCAGACTTATGCAGCAGGCAGTGGTCGCAAAACCAAAAGTCAGTCTTAGTGGTTACGGTATTAACAAATCACCAAAAAACAAACATTCACTTGAGTGGCCGTCATGAGTTCATGACCCTCTCAGGCTCTGACCTATGTCACCCGAGCCTATCATAAGAGAGAGAGAAGGCTATGCTCTGAGGGCCTGAGGCTCTGGGGAGAGAGAGAGAGAAGAAAAAAAAATGACAAGTCATCTTTCTCCCTCGGCCGGGGCCCGAGGCTCGTCCCTACGAGACATCGATGTTTTCAGAAAGAGCCCCGTCCTCCAGGTGTGTCTGGCTGTGTGCCGTGTGGACGAGCGTCGAAGACACAAGCTTCAGCTGAAAAGTAACAAACCCTGTCAACACTCTACACCTCATGTCGATTAGACTGGGTTCATTTGTAGTCATATCAGGGCCTTTCCAAATGTGATGCGAGCCGCCACCTTACGCGTATAATCTTTTACTCTGACAGCATGCGCTCACTTGTGTTTGTTTGTACACGGCCAAACGGACCTTTTACTGTTTTCTCATATCAAGTCGTACTGGCCATATATCCGACCTATAATGGTGATTATGAGACTCATACCTGCCACTAATGACGAGTCCAATTCACCATAGGAATTTATGACTACAGTGTCCTTCTGTCTATAGTCCAATAGTTGTTTCATAATCCCCCTTAGTGTAGATGTTAGATCTGGAGATGTCGTCTCTAGGCACGTAAAGAGCGCAAAAGCCCACTCCAGCTATTTAGAATTACAGGAAGGAGTTATTTGTTTAGATTTTTTGAATAGCGACTTTGATAGCAATTTGTAAGTGGAGGGCTAACAGCGCTTCAACATCACACACACAACATATGACTAAGAATATGGAGTCTGGAATAGACCACTCAAGTGCAAAGCGATGTTGGTATATGAAAATAAATTGTGACCAACAACAGCAAACGCAGTGCTAGATATATAGCACAAAGTGACAACGTGCGATAGGGCAATATTCACCAGAACTTTAGCCGAGGCATACCTGTGATATAGTCGGTGGTTTCAGTCGCCATTCCGAAGCGAGGAGCCCCAGAAGCGAGCAGATCGATTTCTGACGGGAGTAAAACGAAATCAGAAATACTGGAAAACATGAGCCTTGTGTTATAGTAAAGAATATATGCTTCACTACCTCATCTGGAATCATTAAAGCTGATACGCTTTTAATTTCCCGGAGGAATTTTTGTGCGTGAAATGTAATGAGGCATCCCAGAGGTATAAGCGCCACAGTACTAGTATACAGAATGTAAATACGATTGACTCACCCTACTCGTACCTACTTAAACATCATTTGGGAAAATACTGACGTTTCTATACGTCTCCAACTGCTCTACGTTACAAATTCGGACAAGCCACGCACTCGTATCTACACGACAACTAGCAATTAACACAACTATCACATATATGTAATCTGACTTGCACACAAAGCTGAGATAGGCGCAAAACATACGACATACGTGCGATATTGTAGAAACTGCCCTTAGGATAGGTCGAGACTCTATAGTGCTAGCTTCTGAACCCACTGTTATGTCGGATTCGCCGATAGTCAACGATGCTTTACCGAGAAATATTAGCTTCCACTGGTTTCGGTTACTAAGGGGTGGCAAAATAACCTTTGCCTTGGTTAAAGATCCGTCCAAGTTCTTCTGTTCGGCTAGGTCCGCTTTAGCTGTATAGCTCTGCCAGCTGCGGACAATCTACATCGACATCAATGTGGTCTGAGATATTAATATACTATGCCTGTCTCCAGGACTGGCGAAGATCCCTGAAAACCAGCTGTTCTGGCAGTGTGAATTGGAATACGGCTTGCCTTTGCGTTAATCCCATACTATTCGATGCACAACAGTCAGATGAAAGTATTCGCCACGAACAGGAACTCGGGTACGGGACTAAAGTCAATCTTCCGTATCTGTTCGCATGCTTATTCTGTACACACCAGACTCACTATCACAACAAATAAATACAGCTTGAGATTGTACATAATCAAACGAGAGAAAAAAAACAAAAAACAAAAAATGAGGAATCACAACACGATGATTATATAGACACACCTCGCCTGCCAGTTTGAATTCATCGAGTACATATCTTTCCCAGTCTTCTGAGGGCAGTCGTTCGGGTGGCCCACGATTGGATGTGTCACTCAATTGTGGTATGGCTACGGTTTGTTGTATATCGTACAGGCGCGGATTTACGGTCGACGAGGTCATCGTGCTTGCATACTGCCTCGCCTCGTGCCTGTCGTTTGGTGTTATACATCAATATCGCCAAAACTTCAAACAGTGCCAGAACTATTGACATATACTACCACAGTTGCGAAGATAATACAGCAGGGAAATGAATATGTCATTGTTCTTTAAAGTTGCTGAATGTGTATGAGCAAAACGATAGAAGGGCGAAGTCTCCGGCGAATCGATTTGTCTTGTGGATTTAAAAAAATCGAGTTCGTTGTTTCCAGTACGATTAAACAAGCTTGTCCATGATAAATATGCGGACGAAAAACGACGACTCCGGCAAGCCCAAACATAGGACATTTACAAATATCTATCACAACAACATACAATTACAGTTTTACAATATTACACTTCTATTTCGTGAATCTATGCCCTAACTATCTATCTGTCTAACAACACCTCTACCTAATTATATACCCACCAACGTATATATACATACATATATATGCATATTATATATATATATATATACACATATATATGTATCTACACACACACGCACACACACACACACACACACACACACACACACACACACACAC